GTCAGTAACAACAGCCCCAGCAGGGAGAGAGTAGGCGAACCCCGAGAACTCAAGGGCCAGCCCATGTAGCCGGTCCGGGAACTTCAGATACAGCAAGACACCCTGTTTCAAAAACCGAGATGGAGATCCTGACAAATGGCTGAATAAAGACACGGGAAGCCTGACAACCTGAGCCTGATTCCTGGGGCCCACATGGTGGGAGAGGGCTGATTTCCACAGCCTGATTGGCAGTTCCCTCACCCCACCCCCCAAGAGGCTCTGGGGTCCCTCTGCTCTCCTCTCCCGTGCTGGGATTACAGGTTGTGTTCTACTGCGGCTAGTTTCTTATGTGAGTACTGGAGACCCAAACTCAGGTCCTCATGTTTTCCCAGCAAGGGCTTTACCCACTCAGCTGCCAGCCGTGGCCCCGACCCCCGGGGCCATCTATTTTCAAGTGCTGTGTGGAGTAGGTTCGGCAGATGAAAACTCCAGTGAGATGGGACAGCGTGGCCTGTTCCCCATTGGGTGCCTACAGCTCACCTCCACAGCTGCCTCGGTTACTAGCCCAGGCCTTAGACTCCACAGCCTCCCCTCCCCCAGGCCCTAAATCACTCCCAGACCCTTTGTTCTTCTCCACAGCTGCTCAGCAAATTCCTTGATTTGAAATTATGATCACAGGTTGGAGAGCTACTTAAAATAATTTTGCCAAATGCTCCGTCTCTGCATTGATGAATATAATGGAGGAGAAATTTCAAGAGGGAAAAAAATTTAAGAATTCACTTTGTTCAGGGAAAAAAAAAAAAAAAAGGAAAGTCACAGCTTACAGCACAGTATTAGCTTACATCTAAGGATTCTTTCCCCTAGGAAGTTGACTGTATGCTGCCCTTCAGTGAGCCAGTGAGCCCTGTGCCAGCCAGGTGAGAGAGGGAGCTGCTGTTGGTGAGAAATCCTGCCTGCAGATGCAGGGAGCAAGGGTCGGGGGTGGGGTGGGTTTGTTTAAGCATGAGTCAGAGGAGCTGGGGGTCGATCCCAGGTCTCCGATTTCCAATTTCCTGTGTAAGCCACTGAACACAGAGTGCCCCGTCCCAGCAGGTTTTTATGCTACCGCTCTGTGGAACAAAGGCAGATACTGTATGAGGCCACACGCATAAATAACCCAGTCAGGCCGCCGCTTCCTTCTCTAAGGGAGACATCTGTGGAATCCGGAATCTGTAAGAAACCGAACTCTAAGGGAGGCAGGGGGGGGAAAGCCGACCACTGTCTGGCTTCTTGGTCATCAGAGGCCTTAAGCATTGCTATTCCATAGGAGACCTGGGCCCTTGTCCAGCCCCAGCCGGCCTGTGGTCAGGGGCTAGCTATTCCTTCCTTCGGGACAGCCCTGCAGCTCAGGATCCAGGCTAGAGAGCACAAGGGACTGACCACGAGTCAGAACAAGGCTCCTATGTCACTCCACATTCTCCTTCAGCAGGCTGGCCCCGAGAAGGACCTTCCTCCCATTTTCCTGGGATTTCCTCAAGGCTTGGGACTAGAGAAGAATATGGGAGGCATAAACCCCGAGTGAGGGAGGGTGGCTCCACACCTAAGTAGCTCCCTGGGAGTGAGGAGGCCCTTGGTAGAGTGGGCGTCAGGGTTTGGCCAGCCTCTAGCAGGATCCAGGAACCAATAAGGGGCACGTGTCTGCTGGTCACCTTCCACAGATACTGCACTAGGAAGCTCTGTCTGCTACAGCACACAGCGAAGCCCCACCCTCTGAGAAGGGCATTGTCTCTAAAGGGTCTGGAGTGGCATACTTTGACGCTTCTCACAGAGTCAGGCAGGGTTGTGCTGAATACACTAAGCTGGTCCACTGAGTCTGGGAGGGGGACCCTGTGCACCCCCTAACATAGCAGCTGAAATGACCCCTGCTACCTCCCTCAGTAGGCATCACCCAGAAATTCCAGGGCCTTTGAGGTGCAGTGACAACGGACATCAGGGCTGAATGAGTCCGCAACTCTTCTCTTCTGCTTCCAAAGCAGAAAAGGTCCTTGACCTTTGTCTGAGCCTCTGTTTTCTCGTCTGTTGAATGGGCACAGCTCTCTTCCCCTCACTAGTTGAGCTGGAGAACGAGACAAATCTGCCTCGTGGGTAAGCAGCAGTCTGCAGGACAATGGCCCTGGAAGAGGCCAAAGAATACCGGGTAGGGGTGGTGTGGGCAGAAGAAATGCTCTGAGCATCTAGATGGGAGGAGACGGCATCTTTCTATGCCGGGGTCTGTTGGTCCTAGTTTACAGGGCTGTCTGCTACAGGTCTACTAACCTGTTTCTCTCCCAGGGGACCTGATCTCAGGCTCCACTCCAAACCCACTCCCCCTCCCTCTTCCTCTTTCCCAGGGGACTCTTTGACCCCTGGAACCCTTGAGTACCTGTCCCCTCCAGTCACCGCTGCCGGAGACAGGAAACAGCTCCGATTCCTTTGTCTCTGGGTCTTTGCTCTGTTCCCCGAGTGCCCTGAGAAGGGCGGAAGGGCCAGCTGCCCAGAGGAGGAGATTTTATCACTAACACTGTTTGGAATTACTACTGGTTGGCAGTTTAAAGTGTAAAATGCAGCATGGCCTCGCGCCGGGGTTGTTACAGTCTTCTAAACTCTGGGGGACAGCACGCTTCTCATGGGCACGTAAGGCAGACCCAGCATGCTCACTTCTGTGGTTCACCTAGACGACCCTACGCCCTCCCCTCTTATGCCCTAGGCACAGGAGGTGATTGACTGTCGCTCATGTCTCTGTGGGTCACCCTTAGGGTATGGCGAGGGTCCTCCGGCGGCCTCCGCTTTCCTCTCACAGTTTGTTCCGTCTTTGTGGATGACTGGATCTGATGAGGAAGTGCTGTCAGCAGAAGAGCAAGGAAAGCCTTAGCCAACACCCCCGCCCGCCCGGGAGCCAGTCCCAAGTCCTTTCCCTGCGGGGTGTGAGGCCAGGTAGCTCAGACCTGTCACCCTAGCTATTCCAGAAGAGCTGAGGTAAGAGGATGATGAGTTCAAAGCCAGCTTGGTCCATTTAACAAGATAAGGTATTGTCTCAGGTTTCTCAAAAAAAATAAATAAACAATAGCAAAAGGGGGGCCAGGGATACAGCTTAATGTTTAGAGCACGTTCTAGCAAGTTCCCAGGTCCTGGATTTAATCAATCCCCAGTAATACACACAGACACAGACAGACAGACAGACAGACACACACACACACACACACATACACACAGCTCTTTAACTCTGGTTCTTTGTTTGTTTGTTTGTTTGTTTGTTTTTCAAGACAGGGTTTCTCTGTGTAGCTTTCTGCCTTTCCTGGAACCCACTCTGTAGCCCAGGCTAGCCTCGAACTCACAGAGATCCACCAGCCTCCGCCTCCCGAGTGCTGGAATTAAAGGCGTGCACCACCACCGCCCAGCTTTGACTCTGGTTCTAGAAGGGAGAGACTCTGGAGAAATTTCTGGAAAGAAAAGACAGAAGCTCTATTCCACACCACGTGACTCGGTGACTTCTGACAGCAATCCTGATGGCGTGCTGCCCCTGGGTTTGTTACACACCACATTCACCTCTCATCTGTTCCCTTCTGGGATCCCAAAGCAGCCTAGGAGCTTGGTTGGTTGGTTTGTCTACTCTTATTTCACAGCTGAGGAAGCTGAGGCCAGAGGTGTCTGAAGTCAGCCATTCATCTCCCACCCTCCACAGCGGTGACCACTATGCCCTGTGCCAGTCAGGGTGCCCTTCTGCCGAGGATGCCGCCACACCTGGTTGATGGAGAACCCCCACCTGCTCCAACACCGGGAGACCAGCCCTTTGAAAGCAAGCCCGGATCCAAACTCGGGGTTAGTTAATGATAAAGCTGAATAACGTAAGGACCGGCCTGCCCTCCCACTTTATCAACATGTGACTTAGATTTGAGTGCCAAGCTAACCCTCTCCAGAGCCACATCCTTGGCGGTGACTTATTAAAGAGTAAATCAAAGTTTGCTGGACGAGAAGAGTCAATACCCACACTCCGCATGCCAGGCTGGTCCTGAGCCCACTTCCCGGTTCCACTGTTGACTTGGGCTGTAATCCTAGATAAGTGAATACACTCACTGCCCTGGGCCCAAAGGGCAAGCCTGGGGAGAGAGGCCAGGACTAAGCCTGCCCCCACCCTTTACACACACACACACACACACACACACACACACCTGGCAAGATGCCGGCTCTCGTGGCTTGCTTCAGAGGGGGAAACCTCAGACAAAAGGAAGGCAGGTACAGAGCTCCACATACAGCCTCTCGTCCTTGTGTCTGTGACTGTGAAGAAGTGGGTCAGCCGCATGTCGCATCCCCAATAGGAACTCTACCATCCTTTGGCTCTAAGCTCACCCATAATTAGCGGGACCGAGGAGAGGAGAGCTGCACTTTGGGCCTCAGATGGCAGGGCGGAAGAATCAGAGCAAAGTTGACAAGAGTCAACTGTAATCACACAGTGAGCATTTTCAAAGAAACAAATAAAAATAGCCAGAAGTGGGTCAGCACTTACAGTAAGGTTGGAGGCAGGAAACTGGGACAGACTTCAGTCCTGCGTGGAGGGGCAGAAGTTGTGTTGTGTGAGTGTGGACTTGTGCTATCTTTGGGTTCCCACCCCTGCCGCTGCTGTCCCCTTCTGGGGACACAGGGCCTCAATTCCAGTACTCTCAGTCCCAAAACCTCTTCCCTGAGGCTGAAGACAAGAGGTGCCTAAAAAGAATTTACCAGGATCCAGGCATGGTAGCACATGCCTGTAACCCAGAGGTGATACAGGAGGATCAGGAGTTCGAGGTCTTCCTCGGGTACATAGCAAGCTCCAGAACAGCTTGGCTATGTAAGAACTTGTCTTAAGAAAAGAAAAAGAAATAAAAGAAGAAGAAAGGGAGGAGAAAGGGAGGGAGGAAGGGAGGAAGGGAGGGAGGGAGGGAGGAAAAAGGAAATTAACTCACAGGAGAGGCTGGTAGGAAGAAATACAGCAAGAGATTGCTTGTAGTCTCGGGTATGGCACTTACTGTTAACAGACAGAAAACAGAAGAGTCACATCCTGAGTGATCGACCTGGGTCCCAGCAGGTGGATCTCTTCAGAGCACTGTTTGTACCAAGTGCCATGAAGTACACATATTCGTGCATGCACACACATACGGGCTACCAGTACGTGCTTCTGTCATTGCTTCTCAGATCTGTGGCATCCAGGGCACTACACACACAGGAAACATGCAAGAATGCATAGATGCATATGATGCACACATAGTACACACACACACACAAAGCACATACATATAGCACACCTTCCTACATGTTCTGAATACTTGCTCATATGTGCATACCAGGGTACCCAGTGGGCACACACAGTCACAGAAGTAGGCGTAGTATCTATTCACACATGTGATAACTGCATTCACACATTGTAACCACATGAAGCCCATGTATACATACCCAGCACAGTTGGGACTCTGTATCTGAAAGTTCTTCAGCCATAGAATTAATCAACTTTAAATGGGGGAAGATTTGTGTCTTTATTATAAGCTTTTTTTCCCTTCCTGCACTCCCTAAAAGGATACAGAAAAATAGCCATTACTTGGTGTTTACACTGTCAGGCATGGTAAGTCCAGAGGTGATTGGTGTGCAAAGTAATATGACTGTGATATGTAAATACATCATTTTATATTGGAGACAAAAATCTGCAGATCCCAGAACTGGTCTCCCATGGGTCCCAGGAAGCCCTGTACTCCTGAACATGCACATTGTGCATCATGGGCCCTGTGTGCACACACAGTAGGCCTGCATCTCTCTTGCTCTCTCTGTCACCTTAAGACTTTGGCAGCTGTCAACTTTCATTCTTGGCAGGGTTGCACTTCCTGGTGGCCTTTGTGACGCGCTTGGGTCAGATTTATCAGGCTTATGTGGGAGGGGCATGCAATCGTCCCAGGTCTGGGTTTCAGGTTCCAGGTCCCCAGGACCAGCACAGAGGAGCTGGCAACGTGGCATGTTTTGGTGAGAGTTAGGCATGCTTGCTAATTTCCTGGAGTCTTGAAATACACACTGCTTCCAAATGTTGTCTTTCAAAGAAGTTCTGGAGCAATGCCCAGGGACTTAAAGAACACATATGTGCATGAAAACAAGCATGTTCAACACGTGGGGCAAAGCACGTGGGCACCATGAACGTAGAGGGTTTGGAGTGTAGACATGCTCCCTGCAGTTCTGCCCTTCCACCCTGTCTCTTCTTCACGCAGGAAAGAGAGGCAGTCACCCAGACGAGGGTCGCAGGGCCTCTCTAGTTCAAGAACTCAGAAGCGGCCTCTCTCTGGGGGTTAAATGAGCTGCAGAATGTTTGGGGTGCTCAACCAGGCCCACACCTCCACCCAGCAGAGCCTTCCCTGCTGTGGTGAGTGTGAGTTACAGCACAGGAATAGAGTCTGTTTCCACTTAGGCCAGAACTTGAGAGCTCCTGGAGCGTTTACCCTCAGAGCCTCCCATAGGCAGAGACGGCGAAGATTCCAGAAGGAAATGATGGACTCTCCCTGTGCTCTCAGCCTCTGCCCCCAACGGTGGTGTGTGGAGGTGTCGGGCGGAGTGTGTCTTTAAAATATTACATCGTTTACAAAGATTTACTTGTTTATACGTCTAGCCTGAAGGGCAGATTAACCAAACGCAGACCCATGGTGGGGGGTGGGGGCGGGGGGGAGAAGTGTCTACAAGAATTTGTGTTCTTGTCTTCAAGTTTGGCTTTTCAGAGGGTGGGATTTGGGGGGAGGGGGTGAAAAGGAAGCCGCTCAGGCCAGATAAACTTAAAACCGTAAGCAAAATTCCCTTTTAGCTTTTCAAAAAATGACAAAGTCACACCAGAGAGGAAATGAAAAGGGAAATTTTTAGACTTCTCATCTGTCCAGAAAGCCCCGGCTGTGTCTCAGAACCCAGTAGGGTAACTGTCGGGCCTGCGGTCACACAGCAATCCCAGGAGGCCTTGCGTCAGCAGCCATTATATCAATAAGGAAATACAATCGCCAAACCACAGCCCCGCTTTTTTTTTTTTTTTCCCTAAGCCCACATGTTGCTTTAGGAGGGTTTTAAAACAAGAGACTTTCCTGTTGTCGAAACCTGTGAACCCACAGCTCTTCCAGGTTACTTACGTTATCCCACCTCTTACAGCCACCACAGAGTGGATTTCAAAACTTTCTCCTCCCCTCCCCTGGCTGACAGGGCATTTGACTCCCCGGAACCCTTATTTACCAGACTGTGCGGCTCACTGCTGACACAGGAGGAAAACACTAGTTGCACATTAAGCTCCGCAGCAAAGCAACCTGGCCAGATGCTGTCCTGATGCGTCGTTTATCCACTGACCTGAACGGGGACGGCCACAGGAAAGAGAATTCTGCAGAAGTGGCCCTGGGTGGTCATGGCAACGTTGCTCAGCACAACCAGGCTATTTTTCCACGCACATGCACACGCTCGCTTGCAAATGTAAGATATCACAGGAGGCCGTTGTTTATCATAGGATGTGCAATCAATCTGCTGGAAATTTTTAACTACAACCTACAGGCAGCCCCAACCACTTTATGAGGGTGCTTGTCTGAATTGCTGGAAAGGGCCAAGTAGGAAAGCGTAGGTGGAAGGCTCTGCAGGGGCACGGGCGAATGAAGTCAGCTCTCCAGGACAGCTCCTTTGTGCTGCAAGATTTGTTTTTCCCTTGAGCCCATAGGAAGATGCAGATGAAAGACAGCATTGTGGAACCATGAGCCAAATCCACAGAGAAATATCCCTCTTTTCTGCTCAGCTCAGCAAAAAATAGCTGTACCAGATTTGATAACCATCTTCCAACTTAACTTCTGGCCTGGACAGGGGCCACTTGACACAGTTCAAGCAACGCCTGTAGACTTCATCCGTGATCCCTCGCCTTGCCTGAAGCATCCGCCCCTGCAAGTCAGGCCTGAAGTTAACAGAGGCCTTCTGGAAGGAAACTCATTCACTTCCGTGGCCAATTGCACTGAGGATAACTGAGGGTGAACTTTACTTTGCAGCCACAGCCAGTGATCTTCCTGCCCACTTCGGTCCCCACGCTGCAGTCTTGAATATCCACCCGACACTTAGCTAACCTCACACTTTCAGCCTTTTTGGGTTAGAATCAACACTTAGCTCATCAGAAAAACACACATCTTCCAAAAGAGAATCTGCTCTCAGCTTGAGCACATGGGTGTTTTGTTTGTTTTCTTTTATTTATATATTTATTTATTTTTCTACGTCCCAATAAATCTGCCAGTGCTGAAATGCTGGGACAGATACTCTGAAGCCACTGTGTGGATATGTTTTCCTTTTTTCTCGTTTGAGGGCTGACTTTTTCAAAACAACTCTGATCCTCTTTCTTAGGAATTGTGGGACATGAATGGGGCCATACCCCATACCAAAAAAAAAAAAAACGGTCAGAAGTAAATCGATCCCAGATTATGATCAGCCTATTGCGTCATAGTGTAATGCACCCTTAGGGGAAACTTTTTTTTTTTCCCTACTAATAATTCCAGAGAATTCTAGACTTCCCACACAGGCCCAGTAGACATTTTTAATCTTAGTACTACTCCATGACAAATGACCTGCTGTCCTGTATGGAAAGGATTCTGTCCTTCCACCATGTCTTTGAGATAACAACCTTGGGAAAGCCATTGCATCAGAATGAATACAAAGTAAATGTGGGGTTGTTTTTCGGCCCTTCCCATGTGGTTGTCAGACTCCAAGGCCTGAGTCGTCCTGCCTGACTAAGGCTGAGTTTGCTGGACAGATGCTCAAACCCTCTTTTGCTTTGGCTGTGTAGACCACAGCTGTCTCCTCACCAAGGGGACAACTTTGATTCTTCCCTTGAATGCCACCACCAAGGACACTTACCCACCAGGCATGCCTCTAGGCCTGTGGGGCTACACACACTCTGCCTTCCTAGGCTGGCCAGCTGCATAGGACATAGGACATAGTGTCATAGGACACTAGGGAATGCGTGCTTCTCTGGAAACACAGAGCATGAAGCAGGTTTTCCCATCGCTTCCGGAAGTTTCTCCGCCGAGGGTTGTTACCAACCCTGTTGACTAAGATCACAAAACAAGAGGAAAAGGTGGGGGGGGGCGGTAATTCCAAGGCCTTTCCTTAGGCTTGTATCCACAAACATGAGTTACCTCATGGAGTTATAGTGAGTTCTCTCATGATATAAAATGCTCTCTCAATTGAGGCAGTGGTGGTGTACGCCTTTAATCCCAGCACTCAGGAGGCAGAGCCAGGCGGATCTCTCTGAGTTTGAGGCCAGCCTGGGCTACAGAGCAAGTTCCAGGACAGGCTCCAGGCTCCAAAAGAAAGAAAAGAAAAAGAAACAACAACAAAAAGAGAAACGTTCTCTTAATTTATTTTATTTAGAAAATATATATATATCCTAACCGGAACTTTCTGCTACTTTGGGATATTTATAAAGTTTACCTGGAAGAATTGTTTTTTAAATTTTAATTTAATTTAATTTTTTTTTATTGGGGCGGCAAATGTGCCAAAAGGCATGGGAGAACAGAGGTCATCTTTCAGGAGTCGTTTCTCTCATCCCACCGTGTGTGAGGCTTATGCTCAGGTTTGCAGCCTCAGCGGCAATTGTCTTCATTCACTGACCCATCTTGCCAGCTTTTTTTTGTTGGTTTCTGTTATGTTAAAAAAAAAAAGCATAAAAGTGTTTGCAGATATTCTTCTTGAAAGCATGGCCTCCATTGCTTTGCAAGATGAGTCTTTGCAAACTCGTTTTAAGTTTTCAATATGGAAATTTTCGAGTCTGTCAAAAGAAAGAAACACAGTACAGCCTCACAGCTGAGATCTTCTCTCCGTGGCTCAGATGAACAGCCTCAGAACTTCTCCAAATCTGCTTTCTGTTTTCTTTCTCACATTTGTCTCTGTTTTGAAATTGTTTTAAGAGAACTCCACGTGGAAAAAAAGACATTTTTAAGGAGACGGCAAGGTAACTCGGTGGGTAAAGGCGCTTGCCACCAAACTTGACTGCTTGAGTCTGAGCCACAAGAACCACATGGTGAAAGGGCCGAACCTATGCCCACCAGGTGTTCTCTGACCTCCACACCTAGGATCCACGCGTGATGAGATCAGAGGGCCATGCTGAGCCGGCCCCACCCTTCGATGGCCCTGGGAAAGCTGACCCTGCCCCTCAATGGACACTGCAGCAAGAGAGCTGGTGAGGGGAGAGCTGCCTCTGCCCGCCCCCCGCGCGCCGCCCCACACCACCCCACACCATGAGAGGGCCCCACCCCTCACCCGAATGACCTGCCACCCAGGCCCACATCCAGGGCATTGGCTTGGCCCACCCTAACATCTACCCCATCTGTGCCTTGCTGGAGCCCGTGAAGGAAGGACACTGGCAGGATTTCCCTGACTCGGAGCAGCCATGAGATGTCTGAGAGGAGTTTCCGTGAGGGTCCAGTGGTGATGATGTGCCAGAGGCCTTGAACCAGACCAAGGGATGACCCATGGCAGCGAACATTTTCAAGGAAAGCTGATAGGACAAAAGGGTGTACTGTGTGACACACCACAGCTCCCAATGCCACTAAGACGAATGAAGAGGTGTTGGAGAGGTGGGAAAGATGGAGGATCGAAGAAGGTTTTTGTTATTGTTGTTGTTTGGGTTTTTTTATTATGGGGGGGTACTTGGAGATAAGTGGAATCGGGGTACATGATATCAAATTCCCAAAGAATCAATAAAGAAATAATGCTTTTAAAAAAAAAAGCAGTATACTCTCTCAACTGGTGATCCATTTCTACACTCTTGATTTAAAAAGAAAGAAAGAAAGAAAGAAAACCCCTAGATATGATGGTTAATTTTCCATCGTCACCTTGACTTGGTTTTAGAACCACCTCAGAGACACATCTCTTCGTGTATCTATGGGGTGTTTCCAGAGATGTTCAGCTGGAAGGGAACCCACTCTAAGTGTGGGTGGTCCCACCCAAATGGGTTGGGAGTCCTCAGAAAGAATGAAAAGGAAAAAGTTAGCTGGGCCCCAGCATTCCTCTCTCTCTGCTCTCTGGCGGCAGACTCAATACAAGCATCCACCTCACACTGCTCCTGCCCAAGCCGGAGCCACAGTCACCACCCCACCCTTCCCATCGTGACGGACTGTACCCCTTACACCGTGAGCCAAGACAAACCCTCCCTTCCGTACGTTTCTTCGATCAGGACCTTCTTTTGCAGCAACAAGAAAAGAACTCACCAGGTCCCATGCCATTTTATGCCTTCACACTTGTCCATACAACCTTAACACAAGTGAGCATTTCCTGGGGCAGCCACACCCCACAAAGGTCCCTTTCAAAAGTAGTGCAGGAAGATGCCACTGTGGAAATCCCAAAGAGATCGTGGCTTGTGAGGCCTGAGACAACCCTTCTCGCTGCCACGATGCACAGCCCCCCAAAAGTGCTACATCGCAAAGATGGTGGGCAGAAGTATGAAGATGTGGTCTGGAAGACTGTGCTAGGTCATTTAAAAGGAAGCTGGAAAGATTGGGGATTCACTTGTGGCAGAGTATTTGCCTGGCACATAAGAGACCCTGCATTTGGTCCCTTAACAGCACACATACAAGGAGCTAGAGTAATAGAGGGTCTGAATAACAAGTGGAAACTGAGGCAGTGTTTCTAAATAAGCATGTTTGCACATGTAAGTCTAAACATACGTGTAAAATACACTTGATAGTAAAAAATTGAACTATGTCACTTACATCATTAAAAATGCATACATTCAGGGGTCACTGAGATGACTCTGTGGGTAAAGGGCTAACTGCCATGCTGGAAGACCTGTTTGATCCCTGAGACCCACCTAGCAGAGGAGAGCTGACTCCTGAAAGTTGTTCTCTGATCTCCACACAGGAGCTGTGGCACACAAACACAGACATACATACACACACACACACACACACACACACACACACACACACACACACACACACGCACGAATAAAACTTTTTAAAGTTTATATATTCATGTTAGCCCAAAAACAGACAGGGCTTTCCTAACTACCCATTGGGAAACGGGACATTGCCTCATAGGTGGGGTTTCATGCGGCACCTTCAGCCCCTGCCTACTGGCCCCAGCCAAGACTGCTCTTCCTACCCAACAAGAAACTCTTGTGAGGGGCCCACTAGACGCCAGGCAGACGGCTGGTCCTGCGAATAGACATCCTTAGGCACCTGTGAACTTCAGGAAGGACACACCACCCGCCTAGTGTTTCTCGGGGGAGAAATCTGGGGTTGGAAGAAAGTCAATTCTCTTCCCAAGGAGATAAAGACAGAGCACAATCTGGGCTGATCTTGCCAGGTGCCCCTGCAGCCCTCTCACGCCCCCTCCCCCAGAGGAACTGCTTAGCTCTGTCCTCGATCATGTGGCAACAGCGGCTTCTATTATGTACCTCAATTAAGGAGCACCGAGAGGCTGGAGAACGGTTTAGTACCTCCACAATTGTACACAGCCATTGTTCTGTTTCAGCATGGCCAAATGGTGTCCCTGGCTGGAGCAATTTAGTGATAAACAATAGTTGACACTGTCAGTAGGGTCTCTAAGCCTGCCGAGAACAAAACCACCTGAGGTACTTGCAAAAAAAGGGGGGGAAAGGCGGCGGGGGGGGGGGGGGCTGAGCTATGGGACCAATGAATGCCCTTGAGTCCAATCATGGGCTTGGTGCGGTCTGACGGGAACATCTTTCTGGTCAAAATTCCTATCCCCACCTGACGGCTGTTCTCACCACCTCCTCTAATATCAGCCCAACCATAAAACGAGGGGAAGACGCACAGCAGATCCATGCCTACCCAGAGAAGGTGATCTAACGCCTGCAGGTTGGGACCCCTTATAAAAGTGGAGAACTAAAATAAAATCCTTGTTGCTCCGTTCAGCCGCAGCACGGGTCTCGGTGTTGCCCGGTGACCCCCAGCAAGTCCTGTAGCTTTACTGCACGGTCTTTATCATTCAGATGTGCTGTTTGAAGGCCACAGCACAGGGAGCCAAATGGCATTGTGCAATTAAGGTGGAAAGCATCACATAAATGCGGCTGAGGCCAAGGCTTAAATAGCCACATATGGTTTCACCAAACGTACTCTGGATCATCAGCCAGCAGTAAAAACACACAGGAGGGAGATGGTCTGGCTGGAAATGAACT